CTAATACAATGGGGCCATGAAGCATCCCAGAGAGAAAGTAGGGGTGAAGCAGGGAGCCCCATCCTAGTAGCTGGATCCTAGGGCCCTCCCAGAGTCTTTGAAGAATTCCCACGTCCTACCTAGAATCTCAAATAAAAATGGCAACAGAGCCCGGGAATGCCTTCTAAATCCATAGAGGAAGGTGTGTGGCTGGGTGACCTTCCACACTTGGCTGAGGTCTTTCCCCAGCAAGAAGACCTGAAATCTATCTCCTGCCCCAGCCCCAGGGAAATCTGGCTTTGCAGCTGCGGCTGAAGTAGGCACCTACCCCCCACTCATTACCCCTGTATCCCCCTAAGAAACACATCTTTCTTGGCTCAGTTTGCCAGCAGGAAGTTCAGAGGGGCACAAATGACTCTTTCTCTCTGCAAAGAAAACCTGGGCTTATTAGCTCAGGTTGGGGTGGGAGGGGAGTCAGGTGGGACTCTGTGGCGAGCCTGTCCAAGCCCCCATTTCTCAGAGAAGGCCAGGCTGCATAGATGGAGTCGAGGATGGATGACTGGCCTCCCGGGGCTGACACACAACTGGTGAGGAAATTGTGGGTGCTGATTCATAAACCCAATGGATCAATATTTACCAGACAAACAAGCTTATCCTGGGTCTATCACCGGAAGAAACGTCCCAGCCAACACCAGAGGGATCCAACGTTGACGGATGCAACAGCCACTATCACTTTCCCTGTTTTGTGTCCCCACTCTTGTGGGCTCAGTGGGACAGAATTGGACCCCCTAACACCAAGAGGGAAATATGGAGTGGGGATGGGGACACTGCTTCCCTGGTGAGCCACAGCAGCTGGTATGATTATTATGAACTTCTTAGTTCATCATAAGGTCTGGCCCCTGCCGTAGACAGATCCACAAGTCAGCTGAAGCAGACTCCTTTATTCTCTGCTGCAAAGATCCTCGGACTTCAATGTGAATCAGACTGACTAGGCATACTTGTTAAAGTGCAGATTCTTGGGTGATACCAGGTCAGATTCTGAGGAGGTGGGGCCCAGGAACCTGGGCTTTGTTTCCTTTGGTCTGTTTTGCGACGAGGTCTTACTCTGTTTCCCAGGCGGGACTCCAGTGACTTTCACGACTCAATGCAGCCTCAACCTCCCGGGATCCAGTGGTCCTCCCACCTCTGCCTTCCGAGTAGTTGAGACTACAGATGCATGCCACCACACCTGGCTGTCTTTTATAAAATATTTTTTGTGGAAATGGATTTTGCTGGGTTTCCTAGGCTGATCTCAAGCTCAAGCAATCTTTCTGCCCCAATCTTAGCATTGGGAATACAGGTGTCAGCCAACGTGCCCAACCTGGAATCTGTATTGAATCACCTCCTCAGGTGATTCGGATACAGATGGTCCAGGAGCATTCTTGGAAAGCCCTTGCTGCCCTGCTCATCCTCCCCTGTTCCCAGTGGCTCCCTTGAGCAACTGATCGGCCTTTGGCCTCCCCACCCGCACCCCCCATGGCTCACATGTGCCCCTCGGGGTTGGGGAATGGACTCAGGCTGCTGGATCGCTAGCCAAGGCTCACTCCTCAGAGTGTCTTTTCCTGCAGCCATGGGGAGGGAAGAAATGATGGCATTTGGGCCAGCCAGACGGGAACACACACAGCACACCCAGATCAGCCAAACGGCTCTTCTTGGTAGAGCCAGACAGTAGAAGGAAATAGAAGTCCAAGGGCTTACTATCTGCCAGGCCCCTTACAATGGGACTGAGCAGGGAGTTGATCATTCACTGAGCACTACTGTGTGTCTGGCACACGGGAGGTGCTTTATTTATTTATTTATATCATGTCTGATCAACCCCCACCCTACAAGGCTGCTGGCAGAGCTGGGCTGGACTGGAGCCTCTGGAGGTAACATCACAGCCCATCCTTTTAGCCACAGTGCCCCGCTGCCAAAAGGAACTCCACCGACTGAGCCTCTCTGGCTCCTTTTCCCCACCCGCTGCCCCTGCCTGCGCAACTCAGGCCTCGCCATCAAAACCCATCAGCTCTGGATCCTGAAGCCCACACAGCAGCCTTGGCATCACTGGGGAAAAGAAAATGAAAGCTGAATAAAATCGGCAACACTTACATAACCTGTGAGATCTGACCAGACTCCCAGATGGCCTGGCCTGAAGGGTCAGGAGGTTCCTGGAAACCCTTACTATAGGCCTTGGCCAGCCCGCCCAGACCGTCCCCTCCCACCGCATGGCTCCCACCCTCAGTCCCAAGTCCTGGGTGTGTGATGCTGGAGACCACAGCTGTCAAGTGCAGAAGACGCTCTGGGCCCAGCAGCCAGTCCAGCCCCCAAGCCCCTCCACCACTGGGTTCATAGAAAATAAAAAGATTTCAATGATATGTGACCAATAACTATGGCCATCAAGCCAAATCGGATTTCTTCCTGGCTGATGAGTTCAGGGCCCTTTTCATTCTGAGATCTGATCAACAAATCAGTAAAATAATTCCCTCAGCATCTCATCTTGGGATCTTGCTGCAAGTTCAAGCTTGGGGGCAAGGGAGGTGGAGGAAGCAGGCAATCTGTGCCTGAGGCAGCACCAGTGGCCCAGGGACTTCAGTTTGGAACCTGCCTGGACACTGGCCTGCTGTGTGACCTAGAACATGTCCCTTCACATCTCTGGATAGGTAGTTTCTTCATCTGCCAGATGGTGGCGGTAACCCTGACAGCTCTGTCACTGCTATGTGACTTAAGGCATCCTCCTATAAATCTTCTTAGAAGTTGTTTTCCCATAGATAGAAGTATCGCAAACTGCACCCTCTTCACTGCACACGGCCCACCTTCAAGCCTCAGTGACCTAATGGGGGTGGACCCCTTACTGCACATGGCCCTTGCCTTCGTCGGAACGGGCCCCTTGCTGCACGCTGTCCACCTTCTGGCCCAGGTGACCTAATGGGGGTGGACCCCATGTTTTATTGCTCACGACCCTATCACTATCCTTAAACATGATTTCACTCACTGCCCTGCCCCCTAACCTATACACAATAAATACTCATGCTTCTGGACATTCGGGGCTCGCTCGCCAGCCTCGGCTTATAGGTGGTGTGGCCCCCCGAGCCCAGCTGCGTTTTCTTTGTACTTCTGTGTCCCATCTCTTTATTTCTCAGATCCTGCACCTCAGCACAGCCTAAGGCTCATCCCACGACCCGGTGGGGCACTCAGCCCTACAACGGGCTCCGAACGTGCCCTACACTGAAGGTGCAGAAGAACAGTATAAGTATCACTGCTTCATATGCAAGCAAGGGACACTTACTGTGGCACCTGACCTAGGGCAGAGCTTTTCGATGTAAGAATGGACATCTCCACTCTTCTCCAAGCACGGTTATTCCCTCTAACCCACACAACCTCAAGAGTATCCATTGCTACGGCAGCCCTGAGGTCGAGGTTCCTATGTCTGGGGTGGGGGCTCATAGTCATATCCTCCCTCTCTTGGAGTTGAAGCTGCCCCTCACTATAAAACAGCTCTGATCTACCCTATGGCTCTCCATGGCCAGAGACAGGAGACTCCTGTGGAGTAAATTTCTCTCTCAGTCCCCACTGCTCAGCTCATGCTGCTCCTTGAGAATTTAAATGATTATAGGCATTGCCCATTTCCCCTGAAGCTTCTGTCCCAGTTTGTCCTCATTCTCCCCTTCTTTGGTTTTCATTTACCAATGCCTTGTCCTTTGTGGATTATTCTCATCCCCTAAACCTGCTTTCTTTCTTCCAGCTGTTCCCTCAGCTCTGGGATTCCAGCGTGTAGACTCAGCTCAGGCTCCTGCAGGAGACACACAGAGTCAGGTCTCAGCTGAAGGTCCCAGGCAGCATTGAAAACCATCTCAATTCCTCAGAGACACAGAGAAAACACAGCAGTAAGGGACCTCGGAGAGGTACCAAAAAACCCCTACCTTACCAATGAGGAACCTGAAGCCCAGAAAGACCGAGACTCTCCCAGGCTCCTGCCCTCACCACTTGGTGGCAGCAGATCCACCACAAGCCTTGGCCTCAGCCTCCTTGTGCACAGCAGGTAACTCACCCTCCAGAAGCTCACTGCCTTTCAGAAACTTTAAATGAAAAACAGCAATTTCCACTGTGAAAACAAAAAGAGTAAAAGGCCCTTTCCTTGGACAAACGCTTTATCACAGTTCTATAGTCCTGGCATTTATACTTAGCTGTCATTCACTGGCTGGTAGACTGGGGCAGGGAGCACATAGGATTAAATAGCGTTTCACACAACCCTGCTCTCCCGGCCTGGGCTCTCAGCTCCTCCATTCTTCTTCAGAAACTTTCTTCTGCTGTAACTTCTGCTAGAGTCCAGGCCCTCACCTGGGTCATTTCTCCATGAAGATCCCTGTTATTTTCTTCTTCTCCTGGAGATAGAGAGGGCAGAGATTGGTTCTGGGACTCTATAGTCTTAGGTTTTCTCCTAAGCCAGCCAGGTCAGCTGAAAGCAATCATGACTGAGAGAGGTCAGGACAGTGAAGAGGAGCACGGGCTCACAATGACAGGCCCTCGTGGAGATGGTCAGTACCATAACACGGGCAATATCTGACCAATTCTGCTGGGGATGATGCAAAAAAATTTAAGTGGAGGATGCTGCCATGAGGAGAAAGGGGAAGAACCAAAAGAGTGGGGGAAGAAGAAAAATAAAATGTTTTCAGTAACAATAGAAAAAAAATGCAGAGCCCGGAGGCAAAGCCCCCTGTCACAGAGGGTTAGTTCCAGGCTGAAGAGCCTAATCAAGAAATTCCTGCTGGACTTTCCTTGGCCCCATTTCAAAATGGTTTTGGATCAGTGACTTTGTTCCCTCCACTTTCCCTCTTTTTGAACATGAATCACTAGCATCCTTATTCTGTGACTGTCCCACCAGTGCACATTGAGGACAGATAAGCTGTTTGTCCAGTTTCACAGGTCAACAGAGGTAAGGGAATTATATCAAGGATCTGTACTTGGGCCGGGCACGGTGGCTCATGCCTGAAATCCTAGCACTTTCAGAGGCCTAGGGGGATGGACCCCCTGAGGTCAGGAGTTTCAGACTAAACTGGCCAACAGGGCAAAACCCAATCTCTACTAAAAATACAAAACAATTAGCCGAATCCAGTGGTGCATGCCTGTAATCTCAGCTGCTCAAGAGGCTGAGGCAGGAGAATCGCTTGAACCTAGGAGGCAGAAGTTGCAGTAACCCAAGATCACACCACTGCACTCCAGCATGGGTCACAGACCAAGACTCACTCTCAAAAACAAAAACAAAAAAGAATCTGTACTTAATGGAAACCCTCAGAAGCCTCATTCACACTTGGTGTAGATGATTTAAATGAGATTTTAAACTTTCAATCAGATTAGAGCTACATGACATTTTTCACTTTGAACTAATTCGTTCATGACACAAAACTTGAAAACCTTAGGTGAGAGGGTGAATGTATTTTGCATATGTGAGGAACGTGAATGTCTGGGGACTAGAAGTTGAACTGTGATAAGTGGAATTTCTAAAATGGTCTCCAAACCTGCTGTACCTTTATCTCTGGGACTTGTTAAGCTAATGAGACATTTCTGTGATTATGTTGTTACATGGCAATCACACGACTTTAAAGAGTGATATGGTTTGGCTCTGTGTCCCCACCCAAATCTCATGTTGAATTATTATCCTGAGTGTTAGAGGTGGGGCCTGGTGGGAGGTTATTGGATCATGGGGAAGGTTTCTAATGGCTTAGCACCATCCCCCAAGTGCCGTCGCATGACAGAGTTTCCATGAGATCTAGCTGTTTAAAAGTATGTAGCACTTTCCCCCACTACTCTCTCTCTTTCCCCCACCCCCCGCTCTCACCCCACCCCCCAGGTCCCTGCCGACCATGTGAAGACCATGCCTGCTTCCACTTCCACCATGATTGTAAGCTTCCTGAGGCCTCCCCAGAAGCAGAAGCCTGCACAGCCCACAGAACCGTGATCTCATTAAACTGCTTTCTTTATAAATCACCCAGGTCATTCATTATAACAGTGCGAGAACAGACTAATACAAAGGCTGAGTTCTCCCAGGTCATTCATTATAACACTGCAAGAACAGACTAATACAAAGGCTGAGTTCTCCTGAGTGCACCGGATGGAATCACATCACTCCCTAAGTGTCAGAGATTTCTCTAGTGGGTACGAGAAGACATAGTCAGAGAGAGGATGGGAGCTGGAGAAGAATTCCATGGGCTGATGTTGGTTGGAAGATGGGAAAAGTGAGAAAGAATGCAGGTGGCCTCTGGAGTCAGGGTGTCTCCTGGCTGAGAGCCAGGAGCACTGAAAAAGGGATCTCAGTCCTCCACCCACAAGAGGAATTCTGCCGATACATCTGTAGTGAACTTGGAAGAGTAGCCTGAGCTCTAGATGAAAAACACAGGCAGCCCGTAACTGGATTTCAGCCTCCTAAAACCCTGATCAGAGAACCCAATCATTCTTGAGTTCTGTGGTTTCAAACCACTAATTTGTTATAATGCGTTCATAGGAAGCAACAGAAAACTAGTTACAGGTGCCTATCTGTGCTGTTTATATTTTCACATACATGTATGCTAATCCCTATAGGCACAAAAAAAGAAAAAAAAGCAAGGGGCTACAGTAAAATATTATGCTTACCTTTATGGGAGCACTGTAAGGGCTGTTCCAGAGCCCTTGCAACTTGAAGAAGATAATGAAGGGCATTTCAGGCAGGTGAGAAGTGYCTCTTCAATGYTACCAATCCAATTTCTGAAAGAAAAAAAAAAGRTGGTAAACTATTTAACTCCCAGCCAGGTRTGGTGGCTCATGCATGTAATYCCAGTACTTTGGGWGGYTAAKGTGTGTRGATCACCTAAGGTTGGTAGTTCAAGAMCAGCCTGACCAACATGRATAAACTCTTTTTCTACTAAAAATACAAAATTAGCCGGRCATGGTGGTGCAYGCCTGTAATCCCAGCAACTCAAAAGGCTGAGGCATAAGAATCACTTGAACCCTAGTGGTAGAAGTTGCAGTGAGCTGAGACTGCACATAGCACTCCAGCATGGTGGCTCATGCCTGTAATCCCAACACGTTGGGAGGCTGAGAAGGGCAGATCACCTCAAGTTGGGATTTCAAGACCAGCCTGACCTACACGGAGAAACCCCATCTCTACTAAAAATACAAAATTAGGTTGGCATGGTGGTGCATGCCTGTAATCCCAGGTACTCGGGAGGCTGAGGCAGTAGAATTGCTAGAATCTAGGAGGCAGAGGTTGCAGTGAGCCGAGATCTCACCATTACACTACAGCCTGCACAACAAGAGTGAAACTCCAGCTCAAAAACAAACGTAACTCTGCATAACATTATCTGAAAATTCATCATCTACATTTCTAATAGAAGGATTTTTTTTTTTTTTAGCTCTTTCACTTGTGATCACCAGACAAGGTTTGATAGTAACTATCTGTTACTAGCATAGACGAACCAATTCAAGGAGAGCAATAAACAGGACTACTACTAAGTTCCCCCAAAGAAAGTCCTTAGAATAAAATATCTCCTCTAGTTTACACAAGAGTAAGACAATGGTCCATTAGATAAAATCCCAATCTAATAAAAGCTGAAATGTAATGCTGTCTGTTTCCCAAATTTTAATTTTGTTCAGGCTCTGTCATGGTGACCAGGGATTGGAAAATGATTGCAAAGAGCCTCTGGGGCATCTGGGGAGAAAAGAAATGTAGTCTATATTCTAAGAGGGGACTGAGGTGATGGCTACAAAATTCTACATATCTACTGAAATTATTCAGTTCTACATTTGCAATTAGTGACTTTTATTACAAGTAACTTATTTAATGAAATTTCTGGTTTCAACTTCAACTTGTAAGGAGCCAAGAGGTCACCACTTGTCCTCACAACAAGAAAAAAGCTGAACGAACTGCAAATTATCAAACCTTATTAGAGGGACTAGAGGAGAGGTCACAGGGCAAATTGCCATGCTGAAAAGAAAGACAGGCAAACACAGGGAACAGAAGCTGCTGAAGCCAGCCACTGGGAGGAGCACTTAAATGGTACTGACAGATGACTAGAAGCTGAGGGTGGCCTGGCTTGAGCATTCAGAACTCCTTGGGGCCCAGATTTAGGGGGGATCTCACACTTTTCTAAGTTTTACCACCTGGAGCCCAACCAGGTTCTCATACTAAAGATCAGAAAAATGCCCACAGAACTGACACCGCCAACTTCAGCACTAATTATAAAGCTACAGTAACCAAAGAGTATGGAAATTTGTGAAGGAAGAAAAAAACAGACAAATAGGTCACCAGAAAAGAACACAGAGCTCGGAAATAGACTGATCTTTGAGAAAGGTGCAAAGGCAATTTAACAGGGAAAGGATAGTCTTTTCAACAAATGGTGCTAGAATGACTAGATATCCACATGTGAAAAATAAATAAATCTAGACACAGATTTTACACCTTTCACGAAATGGATCTTACCCCTGAATGTAAGGTGCAAACCTGTAAGACTCCTAGAGGATAACATAGGGGAAAATCTGGGTGACTGTGGGTTTAGCGATGACTTCTCAGATACAATGTCAAAAGCACAATCCAGGAAGGAAAAAATTGATTAGTTGAACTTCATTAAAATTAAAAACTTCTGCTCTGTGAAAGACATTGTTAAGAAAATGAATAAACAAGTGATAAACTGGGGAAAAAACATTGGCAAAATACAGATCTGATGGAAAGTCTGGTGTCCAAAATACATAATGCACTCTTAAAACTCAATAATAAAAAAGCAAACCACCCAATTTAGAAATGGGCAAAAGATCTGGATACTTCACCAGAAAAGACATATGGATGGCAAATAAGCATAGCATAAAGATGCTAGAAACCATGTGTCACTAGGAAATTGCATATTAAACCAATGAGATGCCACTACACTAATGGAATGGCTCAAATACACCTAATGGAATGGCTCAAATCCGAACAACTGACAATACCAAAGGCTGTCAAAGATGCAGAGCAATGGGAACTCTCATTCACTGCTAGCGGAAATGCAAAATGCTAGTCACTTTGGAAAACAGTTTGGCAGGTTTTTTTTTTTGGCAAAGCTAAACATAGCCTTGCCACATAATCCTGCAAACAGCAGTTTTAGGTATTTATCACAGTAATGTGAAAACATGTTCAGTCAAAAACTTGCATCCAGGTATTTACAACAGTTTTGCTCATACTTGTCAAAAACTGGAAATAACCAAAATATCCTTTACTAAGTGAATGGCTAAACAAACTGTGGTATATCTGTACAACAGAATATGATTCGTGATAAAAAGAAATGAGCTATCAGGCCATGAAAAGACATGGAGGAACTTTAAATCCATAATGCTAGGAAGAAACTAGTCTAAAGACTCTACACACTGTATGATTCCAACACTAGGACATTCCAGGAAAGTCAAAATGATAGAGATAGTGAAATGATCAATGATTGCCAAGGATGGAGGAGGGATGAATTGGTTGAACACAAGGAGGTTTTCAGCAGTGAAACTCTTCTGTGGGATACTGTACTGAGGATTCATGACACTAGGTAATTGTCAAAACCCACAGAACTATAAAACTCAAAGAATAAACCCTAATGTAAACTATGGAGTTTAGTTAATAACACCATATCAATATTGATTGATCAATTGTAAACATCTATCACACTAATGCAAGATACTAATGATAGAAGAAATTGTGTACTAGGGGACAAGAGAGAATAGGGGAATTCCCTGTGCTCTTGGTTCAATTTATCTGTAAACCTAGAATTATTCTAAAAAATAATATCTATTAAATTTTATTAAAATTATGACATGACAGCCCCAAATCAAAATGTTGGTGGCATCCTGTTACTGTGTGGTTAATACTGGGCATTGGGGCGGATCAACCTGGAGTCAGAACGGTTGGAGATATTAATGCCTCTGCCTTCAACCTGTGGTTCTGTTGGTGTCCCTGGAATCTAAAGAGCAGGTCAGTTAGCTTGAGACAGCCTCAGTGCTCCAGATAGTGCAGGCTTCTGGTAAGGACAGGGAGAAATCATCTCAGGGCAGTGATATGACTGATACAGATTTTATTTGGGATATTTTATTTTGAAGTCTAAAAAGTATTTAACTTAGAAGACAGATACTCTCTGCTCATGATGTTAAGAACAAATTTAGAATCGTTGTTAAACTTACATCTTTATTTCCCTAGCTGGCCAGGACCTCATCAGTAGCTACTGATATCACTAGTATCCTCTGATCACCTTGGCAGTGTTAACTGTTTTGACCGAACAGGAAACTGAGGTGTTGCTTGTACCTAAGATGCAGACACCTGGCAGAAATCCAGGGTCACTGGCCCAGAGCAAGTCATCCAGCTGTTGATAACAACCAGAARGKGGACCCRGCCATCCACTGAGGTCATCTCCATGCAGCAKGAGCCACTTGCTCTAATGAAGCCACCATCACTACACTTCTCATAACTCGCTATTCACTGGACTAAGTTCTGTGAAAGCTGAGATCATATTCTACTCGTCTCTGTGTTCATGATTCCCAGCTTAGAGTCTGGCACTAAGGAAGGGCTCAGCAGTGTTCACTGAAGATAGGATAAAAGTGACTACAGATATCCAATTCAATCACCAACATTCCTCTCCAAAATGTCCTACCAGGGATGCCATAATTTCTTCCAAGATGCAGCAAGCCTCCTTCTTACACCTGGAGACCCCTGCTCTATACCAGTCATACCCCAGGATCTTCTGTGGGACACTGAGGAAAAACGGGACTACTCTGAAGAATTCCTCTTATGGTTCTTGTCATTGGGAGCAATGTCTTCACTTACACTCCCATCCTCTGGGCTGCCATGACACCCCACTTTCAGAGATCTACAATATTTTCTTGAAATCATGTCTCTGTGTTCTTTCTCTCCTGAGCTTGAGTTCCTTGGGGAAACACTACTATTTGAACCCCAAGTGCTTAACACAGTGTAGAGAAAATTAAACACCCAGTAAATACTCATATCATATAGAGACCTTCCTCAACTGCAAGTGCAGAGGAATAGTGTAACTATCACTGCTTCATATACTGGCAAGAAACACTTATTCTGACACCTGACCTACGACAGAACTGTTTCATTTAAGAACAGACATCTCTAACCCTTCTCCAAGCATGTTTCTTCTCTCTAGCCCGCACTGACCTGAAGAGCATCCACTGCTATGGCAGCCCCGAGGTTGAGGCTCCTGTGTCTGGAGTGGGGCTCACGGTCGCATCCTCCCCCTCTTGGAGTTGGTGCTGCCCCTCACAATAAACCAGCTCTGATCTCTGGCCAGCTTTGGCTCTCCCTGGCCAGGGTCAGGAGACTCCTGTGGAGTAAGTTTCTCTCTTGGTCCCCAATGCTCAGCTTGCGCTACTCCCCCAGTGGTTGAATGATCATAGGGCTATTGCCCATTTCCCCTGAAGCTTCTGGCCCAGTTTGTCCTTATTCTCCCCTTCTTTGTTTCTCACCTGTTCTAGCATTGCCTTGTCCTTTGCAGGTTATTCTCTTTTCCAAAACCTGCTGACTTACTTTCTTCCATCTGATCCCTCGGTTCTCGGCTTCCAGGGTGTGGACTCAGCTCAGTCTCTGCAGGAGAAACACAGAGGCGAGAGTCAGGAGTCAGACCCAGAGAGGTCAGAGGCAGGTTACAGGTCCAGGCAGTGTTAAAGACCATCTCAGTCCCTCAAGCACTCAGAGAAAACTGAGCAGGAAGGGACCTTAGAGAGGTACAATAAGCCCCTACTTTACTGATGAGAAAACTCAGGTCCAGAAAGACTAAGACTCTCCCAGGCTCCCTCACCACCTAGTGGCAGGAGATAGACCACACAAGCCATGGCCTCACCCTCCCTGTGCAACGCAGGTAACTCACCCTCCAGAAACTCACTGCTGCCTTTCAGAAAACTTTGGATCCAATACAGCAATTTCTCCTTGCAAACAGTAAAAGGGCCTTTCCTTGGACAATTCTTTATCGTGGTTCTATAGTCCTATTACTTATTTTCAGTCTATTGTCATTTGCTGGCTTGTAGATTGGGGCAGGGAGCACGTGAGGATTAAATAGTGCTTAACACAACCCTGTTTTCCCAGTCTGAGCGTTCAGCTCCTCCATGCTTCCTCAGGAAGTTTCCTCTGCTATAACTGCTGGAGAGTCCAGGCCCTCATGTGGGTCATTTCTCCATGAAGATCCCTGTTATTCTCTTCCTCTCCTGGAGATAGAGAGGGCAGAGAATGGTTCTGGGACTTCATACTCTTAGGTTTTCTCCTAACCCAGCCAGGTCAGCTGAAAGCAATCATGACTCAGAGAGGTCAGGTCTGTGAAGACGATCTCAGAGGTACACGGGCTCACAAGGACAGCCCCTCGTGGAGATGGTCAGGACTGTGACACGGGCAATATCTGAACAATTCTGCTGGGGATGATGGACCAAAGATTAGCCAGAGGATGCTGCCATGAGGAGAAAGGAGAAGAACCAAAGGAGTGGGGAAAAAAATAAGATAGATAATAATGGTTTCAAGAAATGCAGAGCAAAGGTCCCAGAGGCAAAGTCCCACAGGATGGAGGCTCAGTCCCAGGCTGTGGGTGCAACTTAAGAACCTCCTGCTGGATTTTGCCCAGCTCCACTTCCATACTATTCTGGGTCAGTGACTTCTTTCTCCCTTCCATATTCCTTCTTTTTGAACTAGAATCACTGTAATTCTTATTCTGTGTCTGTCCCGTCATTCCTCATTAGGAGCAGATAAGCAGTTTGTTCAGTTTCACAGGTTGATGGAGGTAAGGAAATTATGTCAAGGATCTGTACTTAATGGACACACATAGAAGCCTCATCCACACCTAGTGTGGATGTTTTAGATGAGAGTTTATACTTTGGAACTGATGTGGACTATGTGACATTTTCCATGTTAAAACAATGCTTTAATAACATGAAATTTGGAAACTTTAGAGGAGTGGATAAATGCATTTTGCAGATGGGGGAATGTGAGTGTCCAACTGTGGTAGATGGAATTTCTGAAATGGTCCCCAAACATGCCATACCCTTGTCTCTGAAGCTTATTAAGGAGATGAGACACCATTCCTGTGATTATGTTGTTATATGACAGATACATGACTTGAAGATGGTGAGGTTACTTGCATGAACTGGATCGAATCGCATCACTCCGTAGGTGACAGAGCTTTCTGTGGCTGGTTGGAGAAGATGAAATCAGAGAAGGAAGGAGCTTGAGAAGGACTCCATGAGTTGTGATTGGTTGAAAGATGGAAAAGACAGGTAAAGAGGAAAGCGGGTGGCCTCTGAAGTCAGAGTGTCTCCTGGCTGACAGCCAGCACAGAAAAGGGCCCTCAGTCCCCCACAAACAAGAATAGAAACTTTTTCCAATATCTGCAGTGAACTTGGAATAAAAGCTTGAACTCTAGAGAAAAAGCATACCCAGGCCATTCCTGGATTTTAGCCTCACATGACCATGATCAGAAAACTCAGGAAAGAAGGAAAAGAAGGAAAGGAGGGAGGGGTGGGGAAGCAGACAAACTTACATGAAGATGAGAAGATCCAGAGGAACTTACACCACCAATATTTTCCATTAACAGGAACACGCTAACTAGTTAAGAGACAGAGATGCACTACTATAAAACCATATACTGTTTCCATGGCGTACAATCCTTCCTGCTTCTCTGAAACACCGTCTGTCTCTGGCCTGCTGTTGTTAGAGACACTAGTCTTCCCTTTGGACAATTTTGGCACCCACAGGAATGAGATGGGACGCTGAACCCTAGAACACCAGGCCACGACCTTCCCTGCTGCTCTTTGTCCACTCCAGAAGCTAACCGGCTGCAGGTGGGGGTCTTAGCCCCTGGGTCTGACATCATTCCTTTGCCTTTCTCACTGGGCTTCTCTCCTTGCACTGGCTCCCACTCCCCCTGGACCTGGCAGGTGACCACGTGAGAAGGACACAGGCCACACTGCTTTCCTTCTCCCACTTTTGATGCCTGCAGTGGTGGGTTCCATGGGGCAGCAACCTGACATTTACTCATTGTGGTTCCCCTACCCCAGAGCAGGGCCTGGCACCTAATAGCCACCCTGTGAATGCTCAGTGAAAGAAGGCGACCACCACAAGGTCCTAAGGAACCAAGAATTCCACAGTGGCCCATCAATTTTAAGTCCTACACGATTCCACAATGGGAGATGTGAAAGGCCTTCAAAAGTGGCCACTCTCTGAAACATTCTACTGGCAGCGGAGCCATGTTTCCCCATGCTGGACCCATCTAGAGGGCACCGCCTAAAACCAGACACATCTCCCCACCCAGGAGAGCTCAGGGGACTTAGCCTGGGAAATGAGGGTGGACAGGGAGGGGGGAACCATGAAAGTTGAAGAGGTGAAAGCAGGTGAAAGGGAACAGCAAATGGGGATGGAGACTGGCGGGTGAGAGGGGAAGAGAGAGCAGAGGGACGCAGATCCAGCCACTGAGGAAAAGTCCTGAAGAGAACGCTGTCCTCTCCTGGAGTCAAGTAACTTCCACCTGACCATGAACTGCAGCTCGTGGGTGGCACACGCGGGTCATGCTGCAATGTTTAGGGCCTATGGAATCCTCCCTTCTCATCTGAATCGTAATGGAGACAGGACTCTCTGACCCCATCCAGCTGGCAGTGCCTCATGGTTTTTACCTGTTAGATCTGGCAGCTCTTCATGTCAGCCCACATGCGTGAGGCTGCTCTTGGTGCAGCCAAATGGGGAAGATTCTACATCAGTGCCTCGGAGAGTCCACCGGAAGCCCTGGACAGCAGGAGTCGGTGGTGCTCCAGCATGGACGCCAAGAGCACACAGCACTGAAGCTCCAGACACCCTCAGGAGAACAGTAAAGGACGATGTGCTGATGAGAGCCTGGGTCAGCAGGAACCTCCGCCTGGGTCTCAACATGATTGGCCCTCATACGGGCTATGACATAAAAGAGAGAAATCAAGGTTAATATTAAGATTCAGGGCTTGGGCAACTTAAAGGATGGAACTGCCATTTGTTGAGACTCAGAAGACTGAGAAAGGAGCAGATTGAAAGGTGGTGAGGAACTAGAGTTGGTTGGGTTTCTGTCATAAGCAATCAACAGTCCTGACCAGCCTGGGCAACATAGTAAGACCCTGTCTCTGAAAATAAAAAATTAGCCAAGCATGGTGTTGCACACGTGCAGTCTCAGCTCCTTGGGAGACTGAGGCAGGAGGATTCCTTGAGCCTTGAGTTAAAGGTTACAATGCGCTATGATGGCACCACTGCACTCCAACCTGCAGGAGGAGAAAAAAAAAAAAAAGGTCCTGATTAAATACTTGAGTAGCCAGAGACGTTTTCACAAAGTAAGTACTCTTTGAGGCAGATCTTAGTGAACAGGAATTCCATTCTTTCTGTTAGGAAATTAAGAGAGTGTGGGTGTGGTTAGTTAATGCTGATTGAATTATCTTTAGACTCTCATCTACTGGTCTATCTGGTCTATTTCTATATGTATATTCTATCTCTGTCTCACTGAGTTTGCTAGTTTATGCTGCAGTAACAAAAGCCCCCAAATCTTAGCAGCTGCACATACGAAGGTTTATTTTCATTGACATTTCCTGTGATGGCAGGTTAACTGTGACTCTACTCTAGACAAGCTATTTTGTTAGATGGTAAACGCTGTGATACTTGGAGAATTTTTGAATGTGGTTCATTCATTCATTCAACAACTATTTCTTCAATATCTGTTTCATACCAGGCAGGGTCAAGTACTGAGAATACAGTAGTAAATAACAGATAAGATCTCTAATTTCCAAGAGCTTATATTAAAATGAGATTAAACACATACAAAATAATCATAATAATACTATATTCACAAATTAAATAGACTTAGTAAATATTCTAAATTAGAAAAATATACAATGATTAAAACTAAAATGGCCAGGTGCGATGGCCCACATCTGTAATACCAACACTTTGGGATGCCAAGGTGGGAGGATCATTTGAGCCCAGGAGTTTGAAACCAGTCTGGGCACCATAGGAAGACCCTGCATACAAAAGATACAAAATTAGCCAGGCATGGTGGTGCATGCCTGTAGTCCCAGCTACTAAGAAGGCTGAGGTGGGAGGCTGCTTGAGCCTGAGAGGTCAAAGCTGCACTGAGCAACGATCATACCACTGCACCACTGTACTCCAGCCTGGGCAACGGAGCGAGACCCTGTCTCAAGAAAAAAAAAAAGAAGCTTTTTTCCTCTCCAGCTGTCTAAGGATAAGCCGCCATCATGAACGRAACAGTAACTATCCGCACTAGAAAGTGCATGACCAACCAACTGCTTCAGAGGAAACAAATGGTCATTGATGTCCTTCACCCCGGGAAGGCAACAGTGCCTAAGACAGAAATTCGGGAAAAACTAGCCAAAATGTACAAGACCACACCGGATGTCATCTTTGTATTTGGATTCAGAACTCATTTTGGTGGTGGCAAGACAACTGGCTTTGGCATGATTTATGATTCCCTGGATTATGCAAAGAAAAATGAACCCAAACATAGACTTGCAAGACATGGCCTGCATGAGAAGAAAAAGACCTCAAGAAAGCAATGAAAGGAAAGCAAGAACAGAATGAAGAAAGTCAGGGGGACTGCAAAGGCCAATGTTGGTGCTGGCAAAAAGTGAGCTGGAGATTGGATCACAGCCGAAGGAGTAAAGGTGCTGCAATGATGTTACCTATGGCTGTTGTGGATTTTTCACGAGAAGCTTAATAAACTAAAAACTTTCCTGTGAAAAAAAGAAAAAAAGAAGAAGAAACAATTTAATCGATATACTCCTGAAATTATGTAAAATCCTATTGTCTACATTACATCACATCAGCCTTTACTTTAACTGGCTTAACATTTAGTTAGATATGATCCATAAAATTTTCCTGGTAATTAAGTATACCTAAAAACAATTAACTATAAAAGAGGTACTGCCTTGACAGAAAGATTGTAAAAATTTTTAAAGACAAATAAATAGAGAATAAAACCTGTAGCTCTGTGAGGCACAAATAATATCTAATTGAAGTCACAATGAACATCTAGCAATCATTCTAAATACCACAGAATTCATTTAATACATTCTGCCTGAACTCCCAACCGATCTCACTTACCAACACCTGTATGTAGCCAAGAAATTGACAATCATTTATAAATTACCACCTATGGCTGCATCTGCTCTACCCACTTAAAAAATTTCATGGGTTTCTTTATTTATTATTTTTTGTGGAGATTGGATCTTGCTATGTTGCCCAGGTTGGTCCAGAAACAGACCCACACTGATTTCGTCAATCAGATGACTATACAGCTATCCAACTGATGAAAAAAAGTGCTACATAGTGCAGAAGAACAAAGACGGTCTTTTCAATACAGGGTGCTTGATCAAGCAGTCACATCCATGTAGTAAAAAATGAATCATGGCTGGGTGGGTTGGCTCGCACCTGTAATCCCTGCACTCTGAGAGGCTGAAGCGGGCAGACTACTTGAGCCCAAGAGGTTGAGACCAACCTGGGAAAACGAATCCCCATACATCTATGGTCTCAGGTACTCAGGAGGCTGAGCTGGGAGGACTGTTTGAGCCAGGAGGTGGAGGTTGCAGTGAGCTGAGATTATGCCGCCCCGCTCCAGCCTGAGCAATAGAGTGAGAGCCTATCTGGGGCAGGGGAGGAAGCATAAACTAAAATAAAATTGCTATGTGGTTAAGTGTTCATATTCTTAGATTAGGCATTGATTAACAGGACACAAAAAGCAGTCACCATAAAGGAAAAGATTAATCAAGTATAATTTCATTAAAATTAAGAAACTCAGGCTGGGTACACTGGCTCATGCCTGTAATCCCTACACTTTGGGAGGCCGAGGCAGGTGTATCACTCGATCCCAGGAATTCCAGACCAGCCTATACAACGTGTTAAAACCCAATCTCTACTAAAAATACAAAAAAGAGCTGAGCCTAATGGTGCTCCCCTGTAGGTCCCAGCTACTTGGGGGCTCAGGCAGGAGGATCACTTGAGCCTTGGGAGGTGGAGGTTGCACTGAGCTGTGACTGTGCCACTGCACTGCAGCCTGAACAACAGAATGAGATCCCGTCTCAAAAAGAAAAAAAAAACAAAACTGGAGAATCTCCATTCATGTAAAAACACCATTAAAAGAGTGAAAAGGCATACTACAGTTTGAAAAATAGAGAAATGTAATACGTATAATATCTGTGTATCCTTGAAAGGACACACATCCAGAATAAAGTATTACAAATCAACAGAAAAAAAAGCATCAATGAAAACAGGATACAAAGATTGAACAGGCACTTCACAAAAGAGGACATATAAATGGCAATAAAAATAATCTCAATACCAGGAAAATGCAAAATGAAACTACACTGATATATAACTGCATCTCTACTAAAATGGCAAAATAATTTTTAATTGACAAGCATAAGCAAAGATGTGGGGTAACCAGAATATTCCCTGCTAAACGGTACAACCACTTTGTTAAAATGATCAACAATATCTGATACTAAAATTCTGTCATTCATATACTTCTAAAACCAACAATGCCACGCCTACATATATACACCAATCTAGTGATGTTCTATTTCTTGATTTGTGGTGAAATTTACTTAGCGTAAATTCATTACCTGTATTTTTTTTTCCTTTTCTTGAGACAGGCTCTCACTCTGCCATTCAGGCCTGAGTGCACTGGCATGATCATGGCTCACTGTAATCTCAACCTCCCAGGCTCTGGTGATCCTCCCATCTCAGCCTGCCCGGTAGCTAGGACTACAGGCACACACCACCACACACAGCTCATTTCTGTCTTTTCAGTAGAGACGGGTCTTTGTCACGTTGCCCAGGCTGGTCTGGAACTCCTGGGCTCAACTGATCTGCCCACCTTGGCCTCCAGAAGTGCTGGGATTGCAGGTGTGATCCATCGCCCGGGACCACCTGCACATTTAAAATTGTGAGCTTCTTCTGTAGGCTTCAGTAACTTTTCCAAGATTTCTTTGACACAAAGTTTTCAGAAATCTTAAAGCTAGCATTTTAGAAGAGAAAAAACGAGCTTCTGGTTCACAGGTGAAATTTTACCAGTAAAATTTAAAAACAAAAGAAAGCTACTAACACGTATCAGCTCAGAACAAAAATTAAAAACTAGCAGCAGATTACTTTTCTTTAACTTCGTCAAGCACTGGGAGTTAAAGAAAAGATAGCACTGCAAGAAAAGACTTCCTTTTGAAAGCAGCTTTACCAGCAAAAGACAGAAGGAAAGCATTCGAAAAGTCTTGCTTAATTCCTCTGTGAGAGGATGCCAAATGAAACAATCTGAGAAGCTCCCAAGGCAGACAGACACAGGGAAACCACAGCAACTCTTTGGAGCGCAAACAGCAGCATCACAATCCAACCTACTGGAAATGCTGCGGTTAATTTGAGGCTTGCCCCGCTAGTCCTGAGGCGATTCCGCGACAGCTACAAACGCTCCCCTAGTGCATCCTGGATCTGGCACACCTGGCTTGCCCACCACCAGGCTGGAGACAGCCCCAGGTGCGGAATTCCGGAGACCAATAAAGACCCCAACTTTGCACATTTGGGACTTGAGATCTCTCGCCCCTCTGGTATCCACAGGGAACCGATTTCTGGCCTCGAAGGTGGGGCAAAGGGTCAATGTCCTCCACCAGATCTAGGAGAATGTGCCCCCGAAGCTGCTCCATTCCTCCAACCCTGG